AAAAGAAAATATAAGTTGAATATCATGCTTCAAATCTTTTTTCGTATAGTTATTGATAATGAAGTGGTACTGGGACGACCGGTAGTATCCTCATTCATTGAAATACCTTGGAAAACATTCTTGACAAATTCCATCGCACATTCAAGATACAATACTTACAGATTGACGATACTAGTATGAAACCAAAATGCACCCTTTTTAGACAACATTTTCATGGGGGATCTTGAAGAATGCATCTTTTTGAGTGAGCCATACAAACCCTGTTGATGACATTTAAAACTGAAAGATATCTACAAGATGTTGCAGATAATTGTAATCAAAAGATGCAGAAGATACCAAAGAACATTCAAACCTCACATGTCGACACTAAACTGAGAATACTATGGTGAAAACGAAAAAGGACGAAAACCAGTAGAAAAAGGTGTTTTTGCTCCTCGGAATAAAGGCTCATTTTCCATTTGAGACAACTCAGCAAACAACAAATCAGCATTATAAACAAGCTTTCGGTTCAGCTCACGAAAAAGACAGAAAGATCTTCCTGCGCCCTAGATGACAAATGCACCTTTCATCCTAATCTAACAAATCTTTCATCCATTGTCCGCACTGTCGTCTTATTGGCTTTAAGTCTTCCTTAAAATAATTTTGTTCATCACCTCGCACTATTGGTTAACGCAGACCCAGAAATCTCAAATATATACTAGCTACACTTGAAGAACTTGAAAATCTGGGGTTACAAACCATGCAGAAGAGAGAATTGTAAGTGTTATTAAGCCACAAACACTGACGCTTCGTCGACCCAGTGACAATGCAGTGATATAACGTCTATGCAATTCTGACTGTAAAACAGTAAATAGTATTTATGTTTTTACTCGTGGATCTTGGGGGTAATATCAGGTGATCCGGAAGGGTAAGCAGATCCTGCTCCACATATGGCACCTGTCGTGTTGCTCATGTAAATACAAACCCGGTGATGATTCTTTTTTGGCAGGTCCAATTCTGGAAAAAGAAGGACGGGATTGTGTTACAACGATTGGAACATATCCGTCGTCATCTGTGAAAGAAAATGTCCATTACAGTCAACCAACTCGTGATGGCGTCCGTAAACTTTTCGAAGGGATAATTTTAACTAGATATATACTCCTTATGCATGCACTGCCTGAATGTTGCTACATAAAAAAAGAAAGTTCACAACTGGGAAGCTGAAATCATCTCTTTTGTCGTAAAGTTATGTTATCAACCGACCTCACTGTCTAATTCTAGATGTAAGTTAAGATATGAGGCACACTTAACTGTATCTGTTGTATCCTTTATTTCAAATTCGATGGGACAGATGTGTTCAACATAGTCACCAAACTTTGAATTATTTAGTGAGAGGACATAATCTATATATCAGTTTAAGGTAACAGTAGTTTACCGATGTTCAAAGTTCATACTAATAACAATAAACTGTTGACAGAGAGATATGTCTCGCCTGTCGGCATAAAATTCAGAAAAAGCAATCTGATTGACAGCAACATTGCTTATTAATTCAAAGTCGCTGGACTATGATCTATTAGACAAGGCCTGAAAATGGTCGACAAACTTAGATGTACAGACAGTAATGTAACTTTATAGAAAATATTTTTGTATATTGTATGTAGTTCCTATCAAACTAACTTAAGCAGAAAACTTAGCATTGAAAATAGCTTATTAATTCAAAGTCACTGGACCATGACCTAGGGGGAGGGCTCGAAATAGTCGCCAAACTGGTATGAACTGATAGAAATGCAACTTGATAGAAAATATCATTGATCTATCACAAGTAGTTCCTATCAAACTAACTTAAGCAAATAACTTAACATTGAAAATTGCTTACTAATTCAATGTCACTGGATCATGACCTAAGTGACAGGTCCTAAAAATAGTCGTCAAACTAATATGTATGGATAGTAATGCAACTTCATACAAAATATTGATCTATCACAAGTAGTTCTTATCAAACTAACTTAAGCAGAAAACTTAACAATTGTTGAGCCGTCGCCGGAAAAGCAATCCCTATGTCTCCCTTTCCGAAAGTCGCGGGCAAGAGAAAAACTGAGTGAATCGCATGAACTCCAAAAAGAGTGATCCTCTGCAACGATAGGGTAAGCGTTTCCTGAATTAAATAAAGTTAAACATCAGATAAATTAATCATCGGTAATTTTATACCCGAGGAAGACGCTACCCAATCACTATGCATCTTTTACGAAAAAGACATTCCTTTGAAAATATCTTCTTTCAAATATAGAGGCTAACTAAAATTGTAACACACAAGAAAGTAAACAGATACCGAGACTATTTTTTTGTTGGTTTCATGTTGCTCGGTCTTGGTTATTCGTTGTCGTCTTATCATCAATCAGGCCGTTGGTTATCTCTAATGGATTGATTTACATTTTGTCATGCCAGTGCCTTTTAACATTACAATATGGTATTGGTTTCTTTACTGCTGAAGGGTGAACAGTGGCCTATAGTTGTTTACATCGTTGATTATCTCTAATGGATTGTTTAAGAAATAATTCATGACAGCCGTAGATTTGTTTTCATTTAACCATGGGTTGGGCATTTATATTCGATTATTTTACCCTGAGCGTTAGCGAGGAGTAAAATACGAATATAAATGCCAAACCCATGGTTAAATGAAAACAAATCTACGGCTGCCATGAATTATTTCGATTCTAATAGGACAATTCGGTAATTCTGCACCTGTTAACCGTGAAAGCCCTATACATACGATACTGTTTTGGCTGTTCCGTTTTACCCAATTTATATAATATTAGTAATATTATATAATTCAATGATTATTTTTTTTAATCGCATTTTTCACTTATAAATTTTCTTCCAATGTAATTTTATTCGTTCAGAGGCGTACAAGAAGCTTTAAAACGCCCGGTATTTACATTTGATTTTTTGTTTACGGAAACATATTTGTGACGTCACCTTGTTTCGTTGCCACGTCAAGACAATAACTTAATTTCGCGGAATTTTTGTTTTATGAAATTTTACCATGAAAAATAAATTGAAATGGACTGATTTGTTTATTTTGCTGTAGAATAGAGATAAATATATTGTATCTGAGGCTTGGCCTTCGTAAACTGGGGATTTTGATGTCGAAAATTGAGAATATCTGGCAGTATAAATAAGTTGGTCGTAACGCGGAACAGCCGTTTATGTGTATTACTGCGTTTGCGCTAAAGGTAGATATATTGTGATTATACTGATTGACGATAATAGGTCGTCTATTAGAATTTACATTTTGTCATGCCAGTGCCTTTTAACATTACAATATGGTATTGGTTTCTTTACTGCTGAAGGGTGAAGAGTGGCCTATAGTTGTTTACATCGTTGATTATCTCTAATGGATTGATTTACATTTTGTCATGTCAGTGCCTTTTAACATTACAATATGGTATTGGTTTCTTTACTGCTGAAGGGTGAACAGTGGCCTATAGTTGTTTACATCGTTGATTATCTCTAATGGATTGTTTTACATTTTGTCATGCCAGTGCCTTTTAACATTACAATATGGTATTGGTTTCTTTACTGCTGAAGGGTGAACAGTGGCCTATAGTTGTTTACATCGTTGTCTAAACTTCTCTTGTCAAGCTAAATATTACATACATGGAAAATCGGTGTGTTCCAGAGCCGTATAAAGCCAGTAGAAATAAAGATAGGTTGGAACATGATCGTGAGGGATTCATTTCTTAAACAATTAAATTCCATTTACACAAAACACCTATTCTGCTGTTCTTATCGTTTGCCGTATCACAATGAAAATGAAATCATAATATAGATATTATGTTTATATCTTGTTTTCATCGAAATCAGATATTTTTCTTGTTAACTTGTAGTCAATAGCGTCCTTCCGGAGAACATCCAAACATTGAAGAGTCCCATATGTCAGTGTTTCCAAGGGCGATATTTTTTGCCACTAGATTGCCCACATCTCCAGTCTTAGCCTCTTGCCTTTGTTAGTCGTGTATGTTTTTTTAAATTTTAGTTCATTTATATGTTTCGGAGTTTAGTGTGACGTCCATTTCACTGAACAAGTACACATTTTTGTTTAGGGGCCAGCTAAAGCCCGCCTCCAGGTGCGAGATTTTCTCGCTGTGTTGAAGACCCATTGGTGGCCTTGGGCTGTTTTCTGCTTTTTGGTCGGGTTGTTGTCTCTTTGACACATTCCCCGTTTCCATTCTCTCAATTTTGTTTTATTTTGTTTTATTTTGTTTTTAATTATATTTAGTCTTGTCATATTTCCTAGTTCTCAAGAATTGTCACTTTAATTTACTTGTAATATTGTAATATTTTGTGATTTTTATGTGGAAAATATTTTTCTGATGTATCTTCCTGTTTATAATTCTTATTGTGTTTCACATCATTTTCAGTGTTGTTAAATCATATTTCTTATGGTAACTTTAATACTAGAAATGTAGTATTCATATATTCTAAAAATAAGCATGTAACAGAAATGATCATTGTTGATAAGATGAAATGAAGTCGCTTTTTGTAAATCGCCTGATACATGAATTATCATTAAATATTCTATATTTTCTATCTCAGGAATAGATTGCATTAGCTGTATTTAACAAAACCTCTTGGAACTTTGGGTCCTCAATGCTCTTCAATTTCGTATTTTAAGTTATTTGGCCTTGTGACTTGTTTGATTCGGGCGTCACTGATGTGTCTTTTATGAACGAAACGCGCGTCTGGCGTACACAAAATTTTAAACCTGGTATATTTGATGAGTAACACAATAAAGGTGTGATCGATACCCTGCTAACCAATACACACCACCCAGACATATTATAATTGTACGCCTTTCATTGAACAACCAAGCAAACTGTTCGCCGGGAAAACAACAAATAAGCTAGAGATAGGGAAATTATCTAATAATCAGGCTTGAAAATGTTTCTGGTTAATGTGGTTACCTATATATGTGTATAAATATCCAGTCAACATTAATGAGAAAAAATAAAATAAAATAATACTTTGTTATAAATATTTTATTTATGCATTTTAATTTTAAAAATATAATTGGTCGCATTTTGGTCATTACAATGTAATTGCACTTTTTGTCTTAACACATATCAAATATTTAAAAAAAAAATACATTATATTTTTAGAATAAAAACCCGTTTCATAACTAGAACACACGATTATCTGTTTTATGTATAAAATGTATAATTTCTTATTAGTACTCATTTAGATACTTTCATTTTATTTTTTAATAAAGTTTGTGCAATAAAACTAACAGAACACACAGGGAGAATGTTAATACTCAAAAGTATACAAAAATATTAAAGAAGCTATAAAAATATGTATAATTAGTAAAATCAACAATTAGTGATGTCATTTGGAAAATATTTTTTTAATGTAACGTCTTGTGTTTAATCCCTATTGTTATTATTCCAAATACAATATGTTTTAAGTAAGAAATAAACATAAATATTGCTGAAACATGCATATAGATGTTGCCAAGGAGAAAGTTAACAGCTTTAATAATCTGATCACAGTTCCAGTAAGTGTATGTATCTAGCATTTTTACCTTTTTTATTCCAGAAATGCTTTACATGGGTTGCAAAAAAAAATTTGCGATCACAGTTTTCAAAGGACCATTAGATTAATGAGAAAAATTTCTGCGAGATAAGATTGTGTGACAGCGTAGTGTAGAGAGTCGAAAAGTCATTACTGTCAACCAAATTGAAAGGACCGTCAAAAGCCATGTGTACAAAGTGTCTTGTTAATAATGAGGTTATAGCCGATATCTTGTTAATTTCGAAGGAATCATGAACACAATCACACAACTCCAGAAAAGAAGGAATCTAGATGTTAAAACATAACTTCTTCAGTTTACTTTCAGAAAGGAATTAATGCGTTACGGAACTGAACAGTTCTAATATAATGAAATAAAGGTCGTTTTGTTTTTGCAAAACGTCTCATACATTATGAAGGTGTACCCGATATCTTGTCAATAACAAAAAAGAAATACGCACAACTCAGAGAAGAAGGATACATGTAATTAATCTAAATATAGTAACCGAATTACTATACAAAAAAGGAGATGTTTTATGATTGCCAGTGAGACAACTATCCTCAGGATTTCAAATGGATGTAAGCAATTACAGGTCACCACACGACCTTCAACTTTTTACTTTCTACTTTCAGACAGGAACTTGAAATTTTGTAGATTCTATGAATGAATGCGTAAATGAAATGATAACAGAAACGAAGCGTCTTTGCAAAACCTCGAAGGAAATTGAACAAAAACACAGGTCACACAAGAAAATGATAAGGTATCTTACAATTTGTAACCTAATTTCCACCATTGAGCAACTAAAACAAAGCAACGGTACGTCGGGAAAACTATAAATCGGATACAGAAAATATTTTACTCGTAAAAACTTCCAACGTGATCTGAAACGAATTGTTTCTGGGTAATCTACTTATATATATTTTTTCTGGTGTTTTAAAAAATATTCCGTAAACATTAATATAATATAAAAAAGTATTGCATATTTTTGGGCATTTGAATAAAAAAAATATAATTCGTGGCACATCGAACATTACTATGATATTGCAGTTTTTTTCCAAGTACATATTTAATTACAGTAATAGCTTTTAATGGTTTTGAATATAACAACAAATCAGTTTCGTGACTGGACCAGAAAATAAACTTTCTTAATATTATAAAAATATACTTGCTTTATTACTAATTTTGGATACTTCTCTAAAACGAGAGAAATCCCAATCAATCGTATTCCGTTTTGTTTCAACGGTAAATACAGATTGTTTATTGCACTACTAGAACACACAGTTTATGGCAGTTATTCCTATATCGTATGTAGCAAATTCTAATAGCGAGACAAATGTACAGGCAGAGTGACATTTCAAATAACATAGGACAAAAGTAAAAATATGTTATAATTTGTAAAATGTAAACTGACCAAACGGTATAATTTGTAAATACAAAATAGGAATATCTATACCGTATGTTATTTCCTTTTCTCCGACTTAAATAGGGATTTGTCTTTATTGATCCCTTAAAATATACATATCTTGTTTACGATTCTGTCTGAAAAGTCAGTACGGAAAGGATATCACTGGAAATAGGAATTGAACTAAGTTAAAGGACCATCCGACCATCAAGAGTAAGTCATTAATCGGCCAGACAAGTACAATGAACAGGGGATACTCATTAATACAGACAAGTACAATGAACAGGGGATACTCATTAATACTGACAAGTACAATGAACAGGGGATACTCATTAATACTGACAAGTACAATGAACAGGGGATACTCATTAATACTGACAAGTACAATGAACAGGGGATACTCATTAATACTGACAAGTACAATGAACAGGGGATACTCATTAATACTGACAAGTACAATGAACAGGGGAAACTCATTAATACTGACAAGTACAATGAACAGGGGATACTCATTAATACTAGAAACCATAATAAACTGTTGACACAGAACTATGTCTCTCATGTATGTAATTTTGATAGGTAAATACAAATGTCAAAATTAAAATGACAATGCTTTAACATGTAAGTATGCAAAATATTCAAATTTCAATTAACCATGACTGAAGGTGCAGTATCCATGGAAATGAGTTGTGTTAATGTCTTTAAATGACCTCATCTCAAATTTCAATATGTAAACTATGCAAAAATTGCAAAGTCAATAGACCCGCATGATGAGTTACGGGACTAGGCCATATAATTTTCATGGAAATGAGATGTGCCAATGCTTGTTCAACTGCATACCAAATATCATTGAATTACCATTTGTAGTTTCCTTTGAACTTACCTAATTACAAAATTTAACTTTTAAACTAAGCAAACATTCCAAAGTCAATAAACAATGATTGAATGGGAAGGGCCAAATTATCTCCATGGGAATGAGATGTACCAATGCTTATTCCTATTAAACTGACCTAATCACAAACATTGATAACACATGTTTGAAGCCGCCGCCGACACCGAAAACAATTCGTTGAAGTAAGACACAAATGGTCGTTTACAGAGTTTAGGAACTTGTTTGTTCGAATTCTTATGACGATATAGAATTCTGGATAACTATCACAATGCATTATGAAAATTCTGCAGTGTAAAAAAAACGTTGAAATATTAGCTTCACATGTATAACTATAACAATAATACAAGATGTATATTTTTTAAATAAAACAAATTAAAAACAAGTATATATAATTTAATAATAATATGAAAAATAATTAAAATAAGTAATATTAATGGTTTTATAAAATACAAATTATAATACTGGATCCTCAAATTTATTGAGTAAACTTCAACATGCAGATTTGTTTTACAATTAAGGCTTAACACGGTTTCATAGACAAGAAATAACAAGAAATAATGATTTTCCTATGAAGGTAAAATGTCAAAATCAAAAGTTTTCACTCCCTCTATGAACCCTTTCCATCGAAGTTTGTCTGATCTAACGTTCGAAAGATAATATCAAAAAAATAATTGTTGATAACTGGAATGCTTAGCCTTATATCGATTGCAAGTCTAAATTGACATAACTCGACTGAAAATATTATTTTTCAATTACATCATGAAATCCTAAACAATGAAACACAGAAAGTTCTAGTTTCCAATATACATTTATAGGGGGTCATTTATTAAACTTCCTTGTTCTTGTATTTTGGCTACTTTTGTAAGAAATATATCCAAATAATCATTATTGGCACAATCACCGTTAACACGTGGTCCATATATTTTGAAAGCTTAAATGAAAGTTGAACTCGGTGTATTGGACCTTTGTCAGATATTGTGGGTCAATTCATCATGTTCATTTCTGAAGTGTTTATACAGTCAGGACTATGATCGCCAATTGTTTTAATGATGCTCGGTTGAAAAAAAACCTAATTATCCCATAAAGAAGTTGTTTATATGCATTAATAGTTGAAATATACATCGAGTTTAGTTCTATGTTACGCTTTGCATGAATCGTTTGACTATTGAAGGTACAACATGTAAAAGATAAATAATTGCTTCGCCAACCTAATTTATTTAGAAGCCACAATACAAATATAAAATGGAATCCATCTTTGAAGAGTTTGTTAAATGTCCTAAGAATGCGAAGTTCTATAGTTTTAAAACAACTGAATACTGTTTCTTCAACAGTGATGATTGTTCATAAATAAAACCATGTTTAAACATAAATACGGATATATTTCTTACCACTGTCCAGCCAAATGAATAACATCCTTTTAATAAATGCTATCCATATAATGTATACATACATTGGGTATCTTCTAAAAACTCTGAACAGAAAAATCCAACATTTTAGAATTTTAATTTCGACATTGAAAAGCAAAATTATTTGAAATAAAATAAATATGATGAAGACCACATAATTTTCATGAAAATGATACTAAGTTCATAACCAATTATCTAGTCCTACCATTACAATTTTAAAACTAACCATTGAATCATGACGGGAGAGACCACTGCTCCTGTATAGTCTTATTGAAGTCTTAAAACAAGTTTTATTGATGATAATTCAGAACACCATATGGTAAAGTCTATCATACATTTTTTTCAATAATGAAAACTTAAAATCTTAATAATGTAAAAATATCAAAATGGCAGAGTATTTCATTCTTTTTTTAAACTTAAGACATTGATGCTAAAGCTACTGTATACCAAATATCGGCGCATCATTTACACGTAAAATTCATGCAAGTTTTTCATATAAGCACACACATACATTTGAATAACATAAAAACAATCTCACTCAATGCATTATGGAGTATGCGGATGATTGACCTCATATGCCAATATTAGTACTTCCTAATTAATGTAACTAGAAAACTTAAACACGCCAAAAATGTTATCTGTAAACATTCATTTCGTCAGTGGAAATTATTTTTAATTTAATTTTATTATTATTTTTTTTACTAAATTCTTATTCTGAATCCGGCATCATCAGCAAACTTTACAGGTGCTGAAAACATCGTCAGAAACCTATATGTATGTCTCGCCTACTGCGACATTCATTACAGGCGAACTAAATCTATGATAAGAAACCTTGTATAATACTAATTATACTAGATAAACCAAATAAAAGGTCTACATTACATTCCTTGTGTTTTTCATCTAAAGAGGAATCATCTGTAACTACTGCATTCGCAAAATCAATAAGTCGAGCATCTATCTTACAATCGGCACTACTGTCATAGATGAGGAGAAGTGACACAGAAAGAAAACTAAAAACAGTTTGTTCGGACATTGCTGTATGTATATGCTTAAGTTTTTCCACAATGCTTAGCATTTCCTTTTTTCTTTCTGTAATACCATCGTGAAAATACTGTTTTAAATTCAACTGTGCACCTTCATCGTCTAAAGCTCTTCCTATGTATTTATTCTGTGATATATATTCGCCAGTGTGTTTCTGAAACAGCTGTTAATAATATGCACAAGAGGTTAAATATATATGCATCGAAGTAATAATATTTTACCTTTTTTTCAAGCAAGGAAACGAGAACGGCACAAATCTTATCGAGAAATTTATTTAATGTTCTTTTTAAAATTCACTTCTTTGGTTATTTTTCAGAAACGTAACTGTCGGACGAAATTGTTATTCTGACCTTCCCGCACTATCTGACATCGGCTCTGGCCTAAGATTTTACCGTTATGTGCCATCATTTTTCGATGTCTTGATCTATACATTTATATTACCTTGCTCTTTGTATACTCCCGCTCGGCAGAGTCGGGAGTATATAAAAATCCCCATGTCCTCATTCCGTCACACTTTTGGTTTACAGATGTAATAGAGATAACCGCTTTTTGAAATTAATTAAAATTTAAATAGAATGTTTTGAACTAAGAAAAGACAGCTTAAATTCGATTTTCCTCGTTTTCACTTCTACCGTTCCAGTGTTACGGTACTTGATTATTGGAAGTTTTTTTAATTATTTTCCGAATGAAAATGATCCTTTTTGTAAATTGATTGAAATCTTAATTGAATGTTTTGGAACACTAAAGACGGGTTAAGTTCGATTTTTTGTTGTTTTCACTTTTACGGTTTCAGAGTTCTGGTACTTAATTTTTTGAAAATTTTTGTGGTTTTCGGATAATATAAATAGAGAAATTCATGATCTCTAATTTGCTGCGGGCCGGTGTTTCTGAGATCACTATATCACCTCTTCAAGCGCCTGTTCTATATCCACAACCGATAGCCGATAATAGGACGTGTAATAGTCCCACAGGCGCCTGTTCTATACCCAGTACCGATAGCCGGTAATAAGATGTGTAATAGTCCCCCAAGCGCCTGTTCTATATCCAGTACCGATAGCCGGTAATAAGATGTGTAATAGTCCCCCAGGTGCCTGTTCTATACCAGTACCGATAGCCGGTAATAAGATGTGTAATAGTTCCCCAGGTGCCTGTTCTATACCAGTACCGATAGCCGGTAATAAGATGTGTAATAGTCCCCCAAGCGCCTGTTCTATATCCAGTACCGATAGCCTGTAATAAGATGTGTAATAGTCCCCCAAGCGCCTGTTCTATATCCAGTACCGATAGCCGGTAATAGGATGTGTAATAGTCTCCCTGGCGCCTGTTCTATATCCAGGACCGATAGCCGGTAATAGGATGTTTAATAGTCCCCCAGGTGCCTGTTCTTTATCCAGAACCGATAGCGTGTAACATGATGTGTAATAGTCCCCAGGCGCCTGTTCTATTTGCAGTAACGATAGCCGGTAATAGGATGTGTAATAGTCCCCCAGGTACCTGTTCTTTATCCAGAACCGATAGCGTGTAACATGATGTGTAACAGTCCCCAGGCGCCTGTTCTATATCCAGTACCGATAGCCGGGATGTTTACTGAATTCTGGCTGTTTGGTCCCAATTATTTTCAAATTAACCTTTTATGTCTGTTCGGGTTGGTCACCCAATTTTGTTGATATAACGGAATTATAAACAACTGTAATACAAGTGAGAGGTTTAGCTAGCTTTAAAACCAGGTTAATCCACCATTTTCTTCGGAATATGCCTGTACCAAGTTAGGAAAATGACAGTTGTTTTTCACTCGTTCTGTTGGTTGATAGTGTTTGACTTTTTCAGTTTTTATGGACTCCCTCTTTTTGAATTTACCATGGATTTCGATATTTTTGTTATACTTATATATCATATGTGTCATATTGATTGATTGTTGCTTGCAAATTAAATCATTTTGAGACCTATCTGCATGATAAATAACAGACAAATGTTATTTTACCTGCATTCCACAGATTCGAAATCCTAATGAGGCGGATGTTGAATTTGCACATCGACTTTCTAACAGCTGACGTTTGGCCTCTGTACAATCAAATGCTCGCTGTTTACGACCCAATTTTATATCTAATATACACGGATTGTTATAACCAGCAAGCAAGTTTTCCAGCACAATAAACTCTAGTCGTTAGTCAAGGAATTTTGCATACAATATTAAATATGGTTTTCAATTAGCATTAAAGCATGTTCTAGAATATTGTTAATTTCAAGTTTACCCTGTGCTACAGGTTGTTTTATTATATATATTCATAATTTATGGTTGTCTTGGTTGCATTGTTTCACTATTGGTCGTTTTTTTGGGGGACTAGTTTGCGGTAACTACATGATCGGAGATTCTGGTGTTTTAATGAGACGCCTTTGTTCGTTTATTCTAATTTGACGCTCGTCTTTCGTTTTAAGCTCATATGGCCCAGATATCCAATGTGAGCTGCTGCCGTCACATGGCGTCTGTCGCCCGTTTACTTTTACAAAAACCTTCTCATTTCTCATCTGAAACTTCTTGATCAATTGCAACAAAACTTAGACGCAATCATATCTTAAGAGCATGTTGCTTAAAATTGATTCCGATGGTCCCGCCTACCAACCAACATTGGCACCTTGGCTAAAATAGAACAGAGTAATAAAATGGAAATAAACGTCTAATATCTTGCAAATCGTTAAAGGGAAAACTGAAAAGAAGCACAAATTATCTACCTACTGACCATTATACCAAAATTGTCAAACGGCTCCTGATAGGAGTTAGTGCCCTTGAAAGACAATTTTAACATCTGTTTGCCTTTCATACTTAAAACTATAATAGTTAGAGAAAAACTTTTTATCACAAACAATGATCAGCAAACTAAAGACCTACACATAAGACAACATAGCCGAGATCTTCAGTCGATTCCTAAAAGGAGTTAATATCCTACAATGACGATTTTAACCCATTTTTCGTGTTTAGCGGAAACCATAGAAGATAGTGAAAAACTAAAAAGTAAAAATATTCAACAAAATAAGTTCTACAAGGAAGAAAAAGAGTGCACACGCTGGTATGTCTCGCTTACTATACTGACCATTGATTTAATGTTGATAGTCCTACATATAAAGTTTTACTACAAGTATCACATTTACATTTATGATCCAAGAAAATGAGGTCAAGGTCAGATAACCCAAGCCGAAAATGCATGTACACCTTCAATACATTCATTCCATAAACAGAATATAATAGATGACCTATTGCTTATAGTATAAAAGAAACAGACCAAACCATGGAAATTCTATTCTGACCAATGAACCATGAATATGAAGTCAAGGTCAGATGAACCCTGCCAGACAGACACGTACACCTTAAAATCATTCCATGCATCAAATATAGTTGACCTATTGATTAAAGTATCTAAGAAACAAAGTTAACCAGGAAAACTGAACATTGAACAATCAACCATGAAAATGAGGTGAAGTTCAGATGATACCTGCCAGACAGACATATACACCTTACAATCATTCCTTACACCAAATATAGTTGACCTATTGGTTAAAGTTTAAGAAAAACAGACCAAAACACAAAAAACTTAACATAAGCAATGAACCATGAAAATGAGGTCAAGGTCAAATAAAACCTGCCAGACTGAAATGTACCTCGTAAAATATTTCCATACACCAAATATAGTTGACCTTTTGCATACAGTATTAGAAAAACAGACCAAAACACAAAAACTTAACATTGAGCAATGAACCGTGAAAATGAGGTCATATAGTTGACCTACTGAATACAGTATTAGAAAAACAGACCAAAACACAAAAACTTAATATTGAGCAATGAACCGTGAAAATGAGGTCAAGGTCAAATAAAACCTGCCAGAATGACATGTACATCGTAAAAAATTTCTATACACCAAATATAGTTGACCTTTTGCATACAGTATTAGAAAAACAGACCAAAACACAAAAACTTAACATTGACCACTGAACCATGAAAATGAGGTCAAGGTCAGATGACACCTGCCAGTTGTACATGTACACCTTACAATCATTACATACACCAAATATAGTAGACCTATTGCTTATAGTATCTGAGATATGGACTTGACCACGAAAACTTAACCTTGTTCACTGATCCATGGAATGAGGTTGAGGTCAAGTGAAAACTGTCTGACAGGCATGAGGACCCTTGCAAGGCACGCAAATACCAAAAATAGTTATCCTATTACTAATAATAAGAGAGAAATTACCATTACAAAAAATCTTTTCAAGTATTTACTGAACCATGAAAATGAGGTCAAGGGCAATGGACATATGACAGACGGAAACTTCATATCATAAGGCATCTATATACGAAGTATGAAGCATCCAGGTCTTCTACCTTCTGAAATATTAAGAAGCAAAGTTAACGCCGCCGACGCCGCCGCCGGATCACTATCCCTATGTCGAGCTTTCTGCGACAAAAGTCGCAGGCTCGACAAAAATAACTGAAATCATCAGTCATTTAAATTGTTAGTCGGCTCTTTCAAGGAGTTATTGCACTCAAATGACGTTTGATTTTGTTTGCTATAATCTTGACATCTATAATACATAGCGAGAATGTTTTTACAGCAAACATGACCAGCTACTATAACGCACGATCAACAAATAAATCAACAGCCGACTCATAAAAGGAGTAAGTGTCCATTAAAGACGATTAAAGCCCATTGTTTGCGTCTCTTGAGATTAATAAAGTTGATCGAGAGATCTGAGTTTTGGAAAACAGCAAGGTTGATCAGTAAAATAAGATCCAAAATCGTTAGTGGACTCTCGATTAAGATTCTTGCTCTTCGGTCAAGAATTTGACCATTTTAAAGTTTTTGGAGGAAGAATGAAGTAGATAGAGAGAATAATTAAACAATAAAACATTATGGTGTCAATATTATGCCAAAATGCCAGAGGAGCGATACAGGCTCCCTGCAGCCTCTAGTTTAAACTACAACCATGCTATCTCCACAAGTCAAATTTTATCGACTGTTTGATCATGTGTGCTACTTGTATACAGTGACTGACCGTATAAAGCCTTGCTTGTAACGTGAACAACATGTTTCCTTGCAGCCTTGCATTTCTCCTGGTGTCTTATCTTTGTGCGTACAAATATTGTTTACGAGACAATGTATGGTTATTCGCGCTTTAATTCTATTAAAAAACACAAGCAGCATGCATCACTTCACAATTGAAATAAGAACGTCAATAGTATTTTGAAGAATGCTTGAAATTCAGTCGGAGCGGCTCGTTGTGAAATTCAAATACATCTTTAAAAAAATAATCTATATACATATAATATACACTTTAAATGGTGAAGCACTTGCTAATTTGAACGTTTTTGATCCATCAAATCAAAATGACTGCCGGTCGAACATGTCTTATAGATCCGCTTCGAAACCAAAAAAATCTGAAATTTCCCATAAGAATCGACATAATTCATGGCGGCTATGTTTAATTTAGATATTAATACGGGTATGCTTTCTGGAGATAATTTCACCTCTCGCTTACACTCGGGAGTTCCAATTTTACACCGACAATGCAACCCGTGTATAATCTCCTATAAAGCATGACCGCCATGAATTATCACGTAAATTAAAATATTTCAATCGTTATATATAATGATTCCTGTGCAGTGATGTTTTGATGCCAAGTAGTCCTAAATACATATGTAAGGATACGATGTGAACAACTGGTGGACCACAATGCGTACTGCTGCATGGTTCTTTTAAGGCACTGGTTACTCCAATCACTAGTATGACAAGTCTTGCAACTGAAATAGACAAGAGTATCAACAATTTATATCAGTTATACTCAAGACAAAGAAATACATATAAATATTATATTTAACTCCAACGGCATCACTGCGTAATTTAGTATACAGTAACTCATGAAAGGAGTTTATCACAAAATTTAAATAAACAAGAAAATGTGGGCACATATGTTTGATTCACATCTTTCACTCTACTCCGTAAGAATTGTTCGTTTCGGCATGTAAGATCTGAAAAATCTCACAGAGTCATGTTTTAATTAAATGACCTTCAATGTAAATTTTTAACAATTAAGCGCTTCTAGTGTGACAAGCTGGTACTTTTGATTACAAATTTTACCCGCAAACTGAATAAAAATTTCACCGTTAAATTGATTAAAAGTGTTATCGACATACGACTTATAATACATAAAATGAATAAAACGATGAAAATAACTGACTGCTTGGCTTAGTTTACAAATTAGGTCATATCATAAAGAAACGGATACCATGTTTCAAGTTGGTGTGACCTCAACTCCTAGTAAAATACCACAAACAAAAATGTCGGGATCGGGATGTTATGCCCCCTTCTTTTGTAGGCGGTGAACAATAAATAAAAAACTGAAAAAATTGACCGTCCGCACGGCACAAGTTTATTGTATACGCTTCAACGGGTACGCCCAACCTAAAAGGCATGGCAAGCCAATCAGTTTTGATTGATTGTTGTTTACCTAACGTCCAGTGGCAAAAACTTAATATTAAATCTGATAGAGTTGTTAGAACAAGAATTAAAGGCTGAAAAATGAGGGTATCTTGAATGAAGGATTTAACAGAAGTTTTGCCCTGCAATAGGCCATCCACGGACCCCTTAAAGAGTTGTTGCAAAAGTTATGACGTGCATGCCTCGTGTTGGGAGGCGTCGGAGTTAACGCTCCTATTCCGACCTGATGTGGCTGTGTCGTTATACATCAAGCACAACAAAACCCCCTTTCAAGTGTCTGAGAAACGGACCTAACCACGAAAATTGAACCAAATGAACCATCATGGGATGCGGTTAAGGTCAGATAAACTGCCTGATGGGCATGTAAATCTTTTCACACAGGCACTTGTTTCTATCCATGGGAAGCCCCACTATCAACGTATATTTACGAGAAGGTACCCAACTACTTTTTTCAACTCTCCGCTGAAAATCATTATTTCTCTGTCAATTCATTCTCAAATTTCTTGTTTCATACATCATTCTATTCGTGAAAAGTTTTTCTTTCAGATGGTATGCATTGTATTTACCCTTACAGTACCCCTTACCTCCAATACACAATCTTTGTCAATAAATTTGCATGAGTTCATTTTTAGTCCGCCTACAAAATACAACAAGTTCCGGTTTGAGAATTTCACGGACTGAATACTTTTTAAAAAGAATTAAACGATGCTAGAAATATCATCTCACTGGGATTTTTTTTAAGTAAAATTTTAGAAAACAGAAAATATATTGGATGCATTTATTCATCTTGTCTTTAAAGTTTTAGTCCTAGATAATTTGCATAAACGGTAACCATGATAAATCTAGAGAGTCACAAATGAATAAGTAAAGTCTAGAGAGTGTACAGATGTAATTTGGAGGGAAATTATAAATACAGAAAAAGAAAAGTTTTTAGTTATTAACTGACAAATGGAAAAAGAAACAGAAAAAGAACAAACTATGTTCCATGTAGCTTTCTGGTAAGCATTATTTATGTATAATAGAATATGTCAGTATTTGATAGGCAACAGTGGTGGATCCAGAACTTTTCATAAAAGAGGGGGGGGGGCTCATGCTTCAGTATTCCTTATATAATCAACCAAATTTTCCCCACCAAAAAAAGGGGGGCAACTCCTGTCATGCTTCTGTGATTTCCTATATAATCAACCAAAATTTTCTCCACCAAAAAGGGGGGGGGGGGGGGGGGGTGGTCAGGCCCCCAGAATCCGCTTATGGGCAATATTAAACTGTGTATTAAAGATTCTCCTTTAGAAACACTAAACAAGTTGCTCTAAATCAGAGTCCGAAATTAAACTTTGTTTGATTTCAACTAATTATAAGATTTTTTTTTTGCATCCAACCATGTATAGTGATTTTAGATTTGGGTCCAGTTATCAAATTGGTCAACTTCAAGAATTCCAAAATAAAACTATGTTTTGAAATTAAAATCTTTGAGTTGTTTATTATTGCTTTATATTAAATGCTTTCTGATTTGACCAACTTTTCTGTAATTCATTTTTACCCAACACAAGAAAATTTAGCCCAGGATTTAGCCTCACTATATATATTCACAGCATTATATCATGATATCATTGATATGGGAGTAGATTCCCAAAGCCAGAGACCACACAGGAGTTTAGATATATGCATCTAATTATACCAAACTTTGGATGAAAATATTTTTTTTCTGAAATTATAGAATAAATAATTCCTGAAATAAAATTAGATTAATACTAAAATCAAAAAAATATTTTTTCTTGCAGGTTAGGTAAAAATTTAATTGAATGTCCTGAAGGTGGCAATACAAGCCTTGAAACAATTTTTAAGTCTTTACGTGAAGAAATCAACAATGATGAAGAACAGATAACATGTAGATGTGTTAGTGGGATGCTTACTAAAATGTTTCCAAATTCAAAAAAATCTACAATAAGGAGTCAAACAACCGGAAAGCCAATAACAAGTTTCAAGAATCTATTAATTAATTCATGTAAAGACGAGGAAGTTATATTTAAAGAATTACACAAAATGGTACCTAAACATTGGTTTGTTTTCAAGGTGAACACAGATGAAGTTATATTTGGATATTTTTTTGAATTACAATTTAATGGAAGAAAGCCTTTTCTACAGTTAGTTATAAATAAAAACAAAAACATTTTAGTCAAAATAGACAATAAAGAAATTGACTGTTCATCATTATTAATACCAAGTGCAGTAGAACTGACATCTAGCTCAATAGCATCCCTTTTTCGCTGTATGAAACTTATTAATCCGTGCCAAGGTTATATAATCAAATCTGAAGAGGAAAAACAATATGGAACTTCTCCACAATGTACTATTGAGACTTTTCAAGACAGAACCTTTATTACTAATATTTTAAGACACAAAGACTGTTCATTTATAAGTCCACTCAGGTCAAAAAACAAAAGATGTAAAAAATGTGAAAAACACATAAAGTACAGGCATTATAATGCTGAGAAGGATGATGATAAAGAAAATACATATTGTTTAAGTCGAGAAGAGATTAAAGATAAATTAAGACAATTAGCCCCAAACCTGCAATCAAATCAATTAAATCTAATTGAAACCCAAATATTGAATTCAAATACAAGCAAAAAAGGTGTAAGATGGGACAAAGACATTATTTGTATGTCTCTGACTTTATATAATAGAAATCCAGCAGCATATAGAGATATAACAACTAATAATTGGCTACATTTGCCATCAGAATCCTTATTGCAAAGATATAAGAATGCTGTTCAACAAAAACCAGGTATAATACATGATATGATGCTGTGGATGAATAGTGAGGCTAAATCCCAACAATTATCAAGGGAGGGTTTTTATGGAGGAATTATTTTGGACGAAATGTCCATTCAGGAGGACTTGCAAATTGTTTATTATAAATCTGAAACAAATTTGGTTGGACTAAGTAATAGTGGAAGTGAGGTCCAACATATGCAAGTGCTAAAAAATGGGAAGTCTGAATCTGAATTGGCTGATCATGTACTGCAGTATGTTTTTAGTGGTCTTACTGGATTTAGATGGCCATTTGCTAATTTTCCTAACACACAAGCACCTCCTGCTAACATTTTTATTACTTTTTGGACATGTGTTGATGCACTCTATAATTGGGGGTTTAAACCAATATATACCAGTTTAGATGGATCTGCAAATAATAGGGCATTCATAAAAATGCATTTTCCTTCAAGCAATCCTGTAAATAGTAAAATGGTGGCTAAAAGTTATAAAAACCCAACTCGTTCAATGATTTTCATGATGGATCCTTGTCATCTGATAAAAAAAATTAGAAACAGTGTTTTAAGTAGTGGTTTTTTAGACAGTCACCAGAGAATTCTGACTGTAAATGAGCATGTGATTATTTGGAAAATGTGGGTCGATGCGTATCAGTGGGATTGCACAAATAGCTTCAGAATACATCATAAATTGACTGATGAACATATTTTCCCGTCAAACGCCCAAAAAATGCGCAATAAACTCGCCTTTCAAACACTTGATTCTGATATGTACAACTTGATGACATGCTATAGTGATACACTAAATCCATATGCAAAGGCTGAAATGGTCAGTGTTCTTGAGTTTTTGAAATACACAAGTGCTTTGGTGTCTTTTTTCACAGATTCAAGGCCTATTAAAGAAATGTGTGATCCAAGGCTTAAACTGTTGTCTGAAATATATAACTTTTTTAAGGCATGGGAGAGTGAGCATTTGCAAGGGGATGAAAAAAAACGCAATAAAAGTTTAATAACGATGGAGACAAGAGAAGATATTGACTTCACTTATCATGGATTCATGTCTTTAGTAAAAGTATCAATTTTAGAATTTAAAACAGATATTGTACCAAGCCGTATAAATAGTGACATTATAGAAAACATATTCTGCCAGCAACGTGCACTATATCATGGGGCAAACTCTAACCCAAACTATAACGAATACAGAACTGGAATAAACAGTATCATTCTTGGTCAAACAACCACTTCAAAAAAGTCTAATGTTGGTGGCACTTCTGCAAAACCATTAGCCCTTTCACTACCACCAAAGAGACAAAAACTAGACAATTAAAATGCAAAAATTTAATTATTATGTATTTTTATATAAGTTATTAAAGACTCTTACTTATCAAATGGTACAAATGTACATGGTATGTTATGTGATTGATATGGCATCTGATGTATGTGTACCCATTTAATTAAGGGGGAGGAAGATATTGTAATTGTAGTTTTGTAAACTCTATCCAATAAAGCCATTATTTCATTTCTTATAAATC